AAGAATGATTGTATTTATTTCTCAGATAGTGATATGATTTTTATTTTTTTCTAAGACAGAGTCTCACTCTGTTGCCCAGGCTGGAGTGCAGAAGTGCAGTGGCATGATCTCGGCTCACTGCAACCTCCGCCTCCCAGATTTAAGGAATTCTCATGCCTCAGCGTCTCAGGTAGCTGGGACTACAGGTGTGTGCCATCATGCCTGGCTCATTTTTGTAATTTTAGTAGAGACAGAGTTTTGCCATGTTGTCTAGGCTGGTCTCAAACTCCTGCCCTCAAGGGATCCGCCTGCCTTGGCTTCCCAGAGTGCTGGGAGTATAGGTGTTTGCCACTGTGCCCAGCCTAAGTCCGTTTTTTCTAATTGTTTAATTATGCTGTGATATATTGATATGCATCATGTTTCTGCATTCTGTTCTTTCTGTAAGCTTACTTCATGTAAGCTTGCTTTTCTGACCAGTATCTAATATTAATTTTTGAGTATAATTTATTTATCCTCTAGGCATAGGGTCTTACGTTTTCTCTAGAGTATCTTTTTGGTTTTCTTATCATTACCTTTATTTTCTAGCATATGTTACTTCTTTGGCTTCCTTTCTTCCTTCTTGACCCAACACATTAACTCTCTCCTTATTATGGCATAAGTTTTAATCAGGTGGGAAAATTCTGTAGTTACTTTGTTTTTCTGGTAGAATTAAGCTTCCCCTCCAGGACCATCACTAAATTTAGCCTGCAGCATAAGAGATCAGCTTTGCTTTTAGCAGGTGTTCTGTAAGCCTGCATAGGAAGTGCCGTCAAGGAAGCTGATTTCAAAATTGCATTTACAACTTAGTATCAATTATGTGTCTTTTTTTTTTTTAGTTTATTATTGGACCACTAATGGATGCACTTTCGGAGAGCTCTCTGTATAGCAGGTAAAGAGACATTGTTATGTTGTATTTGATACATGAATTTCATGTCAGGAGACATGACCAGATTGTTTGATGCATTTCATATATACAGTATGTTGCTGAATAGACAGTCAAGTTTTTTTCATCATGTGGTCCTTTCTGTATTTGTTATTTTTACATTCTGATTTGCATCAAGTGTTTCTCCTTTCCTTTTTTTTTTTTTTTTTTTTTTTGCTTCCTTTTTGCTGCCTTGAGCTCCTCCATTCTTGGGCTGTTAGAAACCATGTCTTTTACACCTCACTTTCTTCTCCCTATTCCTGCTTTCTGCACTCTTGGAAGTTGCAATGACTTCAGCTAACCAACACTTTAAACTTATTTTCCTTTTTCTTTTGACTTCATTTTAGCTTATAGGCAAGTCTTGAGAATAATACAAAGAATTCTCTCTTCTCTTTCATCCATATTTCCCAAATGTTAGTGTTTCACTGCATTTACTTGATCATTGCCTCTCCCTGTGTGTGTATCTTTCTTAGCTCTGTCTGCTGACCAGACTTACCCATCTGTATCTGTTTCAATGCCTGTCTGTCCGTCCATCCATCCATCCATCCATCCACCCATCCACCCATCCATCCATCCCTATTAGCAACCATGAATTCACCCCAGGACATCCAATTTCAGTTCAGTACTGCAGGGTTTATTCTGACCTTTCCATATCTGACAGTGGCTGCTGTTACTCATCCTGTCTCTACTTACAGGCCACAGTTATGTTTTGAAAAGGTTGACAGTGAGAAGTTTGTCAGGACTGTACCTTAGCCTCATTTTTTTGAGCAGCATTTATGACTCTTGAATTCCATCTTCAAAAATTTCCCCTGCTCTTGAAATTATGTTGTCTTTCTACTATTAACTAAATTTATAGTTGTGAGTCTTGCTGTTTGGTATGTCTCTAAACAGAAATACATCCCCCTCAGCCAATTTCTTGAAACATTTTTAATTAGTCTGTGCCAAGTTGTATTAATATTTAGTTCAATTTAATAATATTGAAGAGCATAGCAACATTTGATTTGCCAATTATTTTTGGTTTTCAAATAACTCATTACTATCGAATCATTTTCTGAAGCAATTAGACAGCTGGAGAGCAGTAAAACCAATGAAAAGATCTTGGTGTTTTCTAAGAGTCAACAAACACATTTATCATGAAATGTCTTCAGTTTTCTTGCACTTTAATTTGTTCAATTAGCAGATAATGTTCCTGGAAGAAGCATATAGCAGAAAAAATGTAACTTTAGTAGATATTAACAATTAAATGCTCTTGCAAAAGTAACTTATTACTAACATATGTCTTTGCTATGAATGTTACTTCTTTTATTTTAGGCCTAAAGATTTAGAGTCATTGGATTATATGTTGAGAACAATTAAATGTAATTTTAAATTGTCATTTCAGGCTCTTATTTTTTATGATATTATTTAGCAAGTATCACAAAAAGGAAATCCTTAGTATAGTAGTAGGTTATTAACTCACGTCCATTTTTCTACAAGGTCGTGATGTTTCTATAATCAGAAAGATTTTCCAAATTTTGCTGAAAAGTAAAATGCAGGTTCAGAAAAATAAGGTTGTCTGATTGTTTTACTGTTGAAGGACTTTTGGGCCATGGTCCATGTAGGCTAGTTTCAGTGTAATCGCTTATAAATAAATGTTAACTATTTGTTTCCCCTCCCTCTCTGTTTGTAGGTCCTCAGGCCAGCCAATAGGAAGCTGTTCTCCATTGGGATTGAAATTACAGAAGTTTTTAGTGGCTTATATTTCTCTTCTTCCAGAGGAAATAAAGAGTATGTTTCAGTATAGGTTTTTTTTTTTTTTTTTTTTTCAGGTGTACTTTAGGTTTTTCCTTTCTCTTTTCATTTTCTGTTGCTGCTATGACAAATTATAATATCTTAGTAGCTTAAAGTAAAACAAATTCATTAACTTATAGTTTTTTTGTTTGTTTGTTTTTAGCAAGAATGGTTATAAGCACCATCAACTATTATAATAAATATTTTCAAAAGCTTTCCTTTTCCAGGACATGCATATTCTCTCAGAATTACACAATATCTTTTTTGAGTACACACTTTAGTCATTGTGTATAACATCTGATCAGTATTGGCATGAGTAGCGTAGAGGTCATTTTAGGAGGTGTGTTGCAATTTAGCCATCTTTTGTAATTGTCCGCTATTCAATTTCAAGAATTAGTAAAATATATACAAGAAAGAGGGAACCTGGTTTTAGGAAAAAGTTGTAAACAGAATACCCACTGTGGCGAGTTGTCCCTTTATAGATACTGACTTAGAAAGATAGAAAAAATAAGCCAGAGGCAGTGGCTCACGCCTGTAATCCCAGCACTTTGGGAGGCCAGGGCAGGTGGATCACCTGAGGTCAGGAGTTCAAGACCAGCCTGGCCAACATGGCAAAACCCCATCTCTACTAAAAATATAAAAATTATCTGGGCATGGTGGTGTACACCTGTAGTTCCAGCTACTCGGGAGGCCAAGACAGGAGAATCATTTGAACCCAGGAGGCAGTGGTTGCAGTGAGCCAAGATCGTGCCACTGCACTCCAGCCTGGGCGGTAGAGCAGGACTCTGTCTCAAAAAAAAATTACTTATTTTGTGTAAGACCTGGTCCTAGAACCATCCCGGATCTTCAGGTTGGAGATGTATTCTTCATTCTAATGAGGTAGGTTGGAAGGCAAAGGACAAAAGCAGTGTGATTGTTTGTTCAGCAGTAGCAGGACCTACTCTGCTTTGTGAATCCTTGTTTCACTCCCACCTTTGTGATTTATAAAGTGAGCCTAGGTATGAAATATGTATTTTTTCTTTTGTATTTAGTCTGCAAATAAAAGTGACAAGATGACCAATGGCAATATCTATTCATACATCAGAAAAAAGGGACAATATGGTCTGTATATCATGACTTTATAGAAAATTGATTGTTTTGAATACTTTAAAAAAATAAGTTACTGGGGAAGAGAACTATTAGAGCCATTCTTTAGTTTGGTAGTTTTCAGAAGCTTAGTTAAGCTTCTGGGCTGCAACCATATAGGGATGAAATTGTCAGCCACGTTGCTGCCTCGCATGTCAGTAGCACACGAGTGAAATGATGTCAGCCAGGGCTTCCTAGAATTTGAGAGCCAGGTGTTTGAGGTTCAGGGCCAGGCATATTCCAGATGCTTGGTAAATGTGTTGAATCAATGTAAAATGGAAGCTTGGCCATTGTCATCTTCCTAGTGTCATGAGTGAGGCTATAGGCAAAAGATGGGATTTACTGAATTTAATTGGCGCAAATAGAAGGGAGAACAATTGAGGCCAGGAGTTCAAAAAGAGAAAGTAACTAAAACGTTCATTCACAGTTATGTAGTCATTTTTCAGTCACCAATTTCCAGTGAGTATCTTCTGTGTATTCTGAATATCTTTTGTGCTAGGTATTTCGAAAGATAAAAAATAGACCTCCTTTAAGGAGCTTCTGAGGATTTCTTAAAAGTCATTCTACAACTATTTGAGAAAACAGGCATTTTCACTAACTGCATGAGCTGAGAGTCCTTAACTAGCAGAGAGGACAGAATGAAGCACTATCCCTTTGTATCTGAAAATAGAAATGTAAATAATCAGGATTAGATCCAAGGTAGTCAAGAAACAGCCTGTGAGAAAGATGTTACTGCTTGTAGATACTAGAGGCCAATAACCATCAATACTTCCTATCCTGTTTTTCCTTAACATCTCAAGTAGAAGAATGGCTTCTATTATAAAAAATTTATCTTTTATCGGCTGGGTGCAGTGGATCACCCCTGTAATCCTGACACTTTGGGAGGCCGAGGTAGGAAGATCACCTGAGGTCAGGAGTTTGAGACCAACCAGCCAACATGGAGAACCTTGTCTCTACTAAAAATACAAAAATTAGCCAGGCATGGTGGCACATGCCTGTAATCCCAGCTACTTGGGAGGCTGAGGCAGGAGAATCTCTTGAACCCAGGAGGCAGAGGTTGCAGTGAGCTGAGATTGCACCACTGTACTCCAGCCTGGGCAACAAGAGTGAAACTCTGTCTCAAAAAAAAAAAAAAAAATTATCTTTAAAAAAAAGTAGCTTCATGGGTATCAAAATCTCTACAGTAGAGTAGAAATCTTACTAAATAAAAATGAAATAAAATTAACTATTTTACAAGAGCTTTATTGAGATATAATTCACCATTTTAAACCATTTGATTCAGTGGTGGTTAGTATATTCACAAAGTTGCACAACCATTACCACTGTAATTCCAGAATATTTTTATCACCCTCAGAAGGAAACCCCAGGCCTGTTAATAGTCACTTCTCATTCTCCTCTACCCTTTGCTCCTGGTAGCTACTAATCCACTTTGTCTCTGTAGATTTGCATATTCACAACATTTCATGGAAATGGAATCATAAAATACGTGGCTTTTTGTGTCTGGCTTCTTTTAGTCAGCATAGTGTTTTCAAGGTTTATCCACGTTGTGGCATGTATCAGCATTTCATTCCTTTTTGTGGTTGAATATTTCACTGTATAGATATTTCACATTTTGTTTATTCATTCGTTGGTAGACATTTGGATTTTTTACTTTGAACTGTTACCGTAATGCTGTTATGAATATTCATACACAAGTTTCTATATGAACACATTTTTAATTCTTGTGGATACATCCCTGGAAGTAGAATTGCCAGATCATAGGGTAATTCTGTTTAAGTTTTGGAGGAACTGCCACACTGTTTTCCACAGTGGCTGCACCATTTTACGTTCCCACCAGCATTGTGTGAGGGATCTGGGTTCTCTGCATCCTCCCCAACGCTGATTATTGTCTGTCCTTTAGATTATAGCCATGTTTGGGAAGTGGAGCCTCATTGTAGTTTTAACTTGTATTTGTCTAATACCTAATGGTGTTGAGCTTCTTTTCCTGTGCTTATTGGCAACAATGATAATTTACAATGTTTTCTTTCAGGTAGCTTCTTATTGAAGTTTATTCGGAAGATGACGAGTAGACATTGGTGTGCTGTTCCCATTTTGTTTCTATCTAAGGCTTTGGCAAATGTCCCAAGATACAAGGCCCTGGGTATAGATGGGCTTCTTGCTCTCAGGTAATTTACTCTGTATATGTATTTGTGTGGTTATTTGCTATGACTCTCCATCAATATGTATATTTTTCATCTGCTTTAATCTACAGTAAATGGTTATAGTTAATATTGGCATTGGGGTGTTTGAGCTCTTAATTTTACATAAGAAAAAAGCTTTAAAAAATTTATTCATATAGTTGAACTTATTTTGTTTCACAAATTACTAGTTTAAGTGTGTGCTGAACTATATGCTGTTGAATTTTGACCTCTTCAAATAGGCCAGTAAGTTTTTTTTAAAATACATTCGTAAGTAGAAAACTAAAGATAAAATGTCAAACAATAATATTTGTTAGAAAGTATTTTAAAAATGTCAGTAAAAAGGAATTTGGGGAGATAAAAAAAGAAGCATTTCGATAAATACGAACTTCTTTAAAAGCATCTTCATTTATAGTCTTATTTTTAAAAGAGAATTGTTTCATATTAAAATTGAGCTCTAGTGGAGGCCATAGTGGCAAATAATAGCTTTGAAATTCTGCTGACTTTCTGCATTAGAAATTGTAGATGTTATAAATCAACTTTTCGATAATCACAAATGATCAGAATTGCCTTTGGGAATATGGAACTGCATTTTTTTGTGTTTTGCTGTCAGGGATGTTATTCATTGCACTATGATCACACATCAAATTCTCCTGAGAGGGGCAGCCCAATGCTACCTTCTTCAGACAGCTATGAATTTGCTGGATGTGGTAAGTTTATCTTTTGCTTTCATTTACAAGTCTTTCTAAGTGAGTGGGTATGCAGAAATGAGTTAGCATAACAGACCTATGGTACTACCATCAGAAAGGCCTGCTTGTAAGGTTGGCCCTTGGCTGGCACTGGGACCTTGGATTTTGGGAGCATTTACACTCACCTAACTGCTAAGAGTGCTTATTGTATCTAAAGTGTTTGTTCAATGTGGTTTATGTGGAACACCTGCTTTCCTTCTGGGAGTCTGGAATTTCAGTATGTATGAGGCAAAGAGTGCCTGAGTGACCACATCCCAGTAAAAGCCTGAGGCACTGAGTCTCTAGTGAGCTTCCCTGGTGAAAATCTCCATGAGTCTCTAGTGAGCTTCATGGAGGTTTTCACCGTGTTGTCACAGCTTGTTGCTGTGAGAGCTAAGCGTGTCCTGGGTGGCCCACTGGGAGAGGACTCTTGGAGCTTATGCCCTGTTCCCTCTATACTTTTCCCCTCATCTTCCCCTGTATCAACATTCAAGGAATGTATACCATGCTTATTCTGTGCTTTTTACAAAGCATCAATAAGTATTGTTTCCTGTAGGGGTCAGAAAACTCTTTGTGTGCAGTGCCAGGTAGCAGACATTTTTTAAGCTTTGCAGCTGGCTTTATGATCTGTGTTGCAACTTCTGAACTAGGTAAGCAGGCATTGACTATGTTCCAACAAAACTATTTACAAAGCAGGCTGTGAGTGGTTTTTGCCATTGCCTGACCTACACAGAGTAAGGTACATAATATCAAGGTACATAATATATCAAGGTACATAATCTTAAGGAAATGAAGATCCAGGTGGTTTTCTTAGTCAGAGGGTCATTTTTATGGCATCAAAAAGAATCACTTTTTTTTTTTTTTTTGAGACAGTTTCACTCTCGTCTCCCAGGCTAGAATGCAGTGGCGTGATCTCAACTCACTGCAACCTCCTCCTTCCAGGTTCAAGTGATTCTCCTGCCTCAGCCTCCTGAGTAGCTGGGATTACAGGCATGCACCCCCACACCCGGCTAATTTTTGTATTTTTAGTAGAGACAGAGTTTCACCATGTTGGCCAGGCTGGTCTCAAACTCCTGACCTCAGGAGTTTGGCCTCCCAAAGTGCTGGGATTACAGGTGTGAGTCACCGAGTCCAGCCTCACATTTTGATTGAAAGTAATTTCTTCTTATAGAATGTTTTATGTTTTTAAGATCGTGACCACATTTAAGATAGTAACTTCAATTTTAATTTAACATGGTATCTTTATGTTAAAAGTTGAATAACATTTTCTTTTTCAAATATAGCTTTCTTTTGATTTAGCTAATGATAACCTACTTTAAATAGTATACTTGGTTGCTTCCATATTGGTTTTATTCAATTAAACATTTTAATATAATTTTTAAAATCTCTCCTGCCCTGCCCAGGAGAAAGTGTCACTTTCTGATGTCTCAACTTTTCTCATGTCTTTGAGACAAGAGGAATCCTTAGGACGAGGAACTTCATTGTGGACAGAGGTGAGATTGAAGATAATTTAATAAGGTCTTTGAAAACTGTAAAAAGTGGTTTTCTTAATGAACTTCTTACTAGCCATTTATATAAAATATAAAGACTTATTTGTTATCTGTCAACAGAGACTTTGAAATATTGTATATTTGCTTTGAGTGAACTTAGCTAATGCTGCTAAGATGCTTATGGAGAGGTGGGAGAGAGGAAAATGTTTGCAGTAGAGATAGACCTATTTAGAAGAAAGATGTTGCTAGTGGGCAGATCTCAACTCTGGATGAGATGCCCTAGGAGTAATGACAGTGTTAGACTCAAACACAGTAAGTGACACAAACTCCTCTTTCTCTGTTTTCTGTCAGCGAATGGCCCCTTCCTCCACCCAGTTGTCCAGTCCTCACATTTTGGTAATTCTCAATTTGTCCTGATTTTTGCATCCAATTCATCATGAAACCCTCCTGTCTCATAAACATCTTTCCCCTTCTCCATGCCCCACTGTGGCTCTAGCTCAGACCCTCCTCATGTGAAGCTTCTTCCCTTATGATGATGTCTTGTTGATGTCGCATCCCTGGCCTCCAGGTCTTTTACTGTGCCACCCTTTTTCTTAGGACTTTTTGGAGCCAGCCTCCTCCCTCTTTTTGTAAACCATGGGATGTAGTTCATACAACTGACTTCTAGTGTTTTTCATTATGTACGTGATTGAGTTCTGATGTTTGTCCCCTCTAGGTTATACATTTTTTGAAAAACAGGAACCATGTATATATTTTCAACATTTCTCCAATACCTAAGTGATCAGCAAAACTTGGGATTATTTCTTTTAGAAGGCAATTCTATGTGTATACGTAGAGAGAAATAAGAGAAATCAGCTTGGAGTATAATTCAGGCATAAAATAATGAGGGCTCAGGAAGTAAGTTAATGGCAGAAGAAATGAAGAAGGGGCAAATTGGGGCCTTTAAAAAATGAAATTTTGTTAAAAAAAATTTTTTTTTTTCGGCCGGGCGCGGTGGCTCAAGCCTGTAATCCCAGCACTTTGGGAGGCTGAGGCGGGTGGATCACGAGGTCAAGAGATCGAGACCATCCTGGTCAACACGGTGAAACCCCGTCTCTACTGAAACTACAAAAAAATTAGCTGGGCATAGTGGCGCGTGCCTGTAATCCCAGCTACTGAGGAGGCTGAGGCAGGAGAATTGCCTGAACCCAGGAGGCGGAGGTTGCGGTGATCCGAGATCGCGCCATTGCACTCCAGCCTGGGCAACAAGAGCGAAACTCCGTCCCAAAAAAAAAAATATATATATATATATATTTTTTCAACGGAGTTTCACTCAAGTGCAATGGCGTGATCTCGGCTGACTGCAACCTCCGCCTCCCAGGTTCAAGTGATTCTCCTGCCTCAGCCTCCCTAGTAGCTGGGATTACAGGCACGCATCACCATACCCAGTTAATTCTTTAGTATTTTTAGTAGAGACAGGGTTTCACCATGTTGGTCAGGCTGGTTTCTAATTCCTGACCTCAGGTGATCCACCTGCCTCAGCCTCCCAAAGTGCTAGGATTACAGGCGTGAGCCACTGCCCCAGCCACAATTTTGTTTTATTTTCTTGATGACAATGCATCTGATTATGTGGAATTTGAAAAATATGGAACCATATAAAGAAAATAAAAATCACCTGTAATGCCTACCAACAAACTAAATGTGTATTTTTTGGTTTAGTTTTTAATTCTTTTTCCCTGTGAATATAATATATGTATTCTCTTAGTTGCTTTCTCATTATGGATAAGTATATGTGTATTTAAAATGATAATACATTTGAACTTTCTAAATGTAGATTATACTGTTTTAAATTTCATTTTTTGTATTCACATATACATGAGCATTTAGCATGTTGCTAAGTCATTTTTCGAGATGGGGTAGTAAAACTTCAGTTGATTAAATCTTTTAAAATTTACTGAATCAGTTCCTTTTCTTGGACTTTTTCAAAGCTTTTGCTTTTACAAATAACATGGGGCTGGGTGCAGTGACTCATGCCTGTAATCTCAGCACTTTGAGAGGCTGAGGCAGCGGATCACTTGACGCCAGGAGTTCACGACCAGTCTGGCCAGCATGGTGAAACCCCGTCTCTACCAAAAATACAAAAATTATCTGGATGTGGTGGTGTGTGCCTATAGTCCCACCTATTTGGGAGGCTGAGGCAGGAGAACAGCTTGAACTCCAGGAGGTGGAGGTTGCAATGAGCTGAGATTATGCCACTGCACTCCAGCTTGGATGACAGAGTGAGACTCTGTCTCGAAAATAATAATAAATAAATTATAACATTAGGAGGAACTTATTCCCATGTGTTTTTATTTATACCTGTTTCTTTAGGATCAATTCATAAAATTGAATTTGCTCTATTTCAATATTTTTGAAGTTCTTGATATAGATTGAGAGAGGTTTCAAAGTATGACAGTGGACATCCACTTTATCTACAGTGATACAATACCAAATGTATCAGCATGCTAAATTATTTGCCGCTTAGGTAGATAACACAGCATTTGGTGACTGTTTGCATTTCTCTGATCGCTGGTTTTTTAAAACTTTTTTTCATGTCTTTGTAGTATTTCTTTTGTGAATTGTCTAGTCTTGTCCTTTTTCCATTTTGTTTTGGGATTTTAGTGTTTTGTTTTTTTCCTTGATTTGTAAGTACCTTTTTTATATTAAGGGTATTGACAAGTTGTTATACCTATTGTAAATAATTTTTCTTAGTTCTTTTTTAAAAAAATTAGCTTTGATTTGAAGATTAAAACCATTGGTCAGAAGTGTCTTTATTTCTGTTTTGCTCTTCGATCCTGCCTTGATCCTTATCCTACCCCACCCCATTCCTAAACAAAGGTGTTTTTGATAGCGATTCTGCTTACTACCTTGCAGGTTTTAGTTAAAATATGTATTCTTAGGGATTTCTTTATGTCAGTAGGCAAAGACCCTTTTTGTTCTTTTTTTGTATGCTTGCATAGTATTCCATCTGGTGGTTGTACCATTGTTTATTCAACTTCCCTGTTGCTGAACTGTTGAGTTGTCCAGTCTTGTGGCTTTTACAGACAGTTCCACAATAAATATTCTGCAGGAACATCTGCGGAATGAAGTCCAAGAATTGGGATCTCTGGTCAGAGGTTGGGTTCCTGTGTAATTTTTCTGGGGATTTTCCAGTTTCCCTCTATAGTTTCCTATGGCTGCTGTAATAAATTACCACCAGCTTCATGGCTTAAAATAACATACATTTATTCCCTTACAGTTCTGGAGGCCAGAAGACTGGAATCCGTTTCACTGGGCTGCCATTAAGATTCTGGCCTGCCCCTGCTCCCTTGTAGGGGCGAGTCCATTTCCTCATCTTCTGGAGCTGCATTGCTTGTATTTCATGGCTCATGGCCTTTCTCCATCTTCAAAGCCAGCAGCCTAGCATCTCAAGATCTCTGCTTCATCTTCACATCGTATTCTTCTCTTCTGTTTCTATGTCAAATCTGTCTCTGTCTTCCTTTTATAAGGACACTTAGGATTACCTTGGGCCCCCTCAAATAATCCAGCATAATGTCCCCATCTCAGAACACTTAATCTGCAGAGCTCCTTTTGCTGCACAAGGTAACAGTCACAGGTTTCGGGATTAGGACCTCAGTATCTTTGGGGCCTACCATAGGGTTGCAGAAATCTCACAGTATGATGGTGCCTATTGTGAAGCAGGATTTTTTGCCAATCTGGTGGTTGGGAAAGGCATTCCAGTGTAATTTTAATTTATCATTCTCTTAAAATTTGTAAGTTCCGGCATCTTTTCAGTTTCATTTTGATTTTTGATTTTGTTTACTTTTTTCCTGGTAGCTTTTTAGTTATGAAAAATGTAAATATTCTTAGAAGAGTATGGTGAATTCTCACATGCCCATTACCCACCATCTACCATTGCTGCTCATGGGTGGTCTTCTTTGACCTGGGCATGCTACTCTCCCTTCCTCTCCCAGTTATTTAGAATCAAATCCTATCAAATCTTATTTTTCATCTATACATATTTGAGTATGTACTGCTAAATGATAAGGAGTTTAAAGGGCTTAAAAAATAAGCCCATACCACACCTAAAAAAAAAAACTAACAATGTTTTAAAAATTTATTTATTTTTGTTTGTTCAGATGTTCAGTTTTGTTTGTTCAGTTATTCAAATAAGGCCTATTCGAATACTGCCGCTAATAGGCGTAGGTTTAAAATTGTGGACTTTAATCCAGCTGGAGTTTATTTTGGTGTATGGTATGAGTTGTGAGGTTTGAAAGAGAAAATTCATGTAAAAATGCTTTAGGCTACCTTTAGCCCATATTAAATGTAAACATTTACTGTTACTAATGGCTTTTCACCCTGGTTTAAGGAGTGAGGCATTTGCCTGTTTTATTGTTTGTTTGTAAGGAGGCAGCTCGTAGATTTCTTTATCTGTTCCCCTCGATTTTCAGTTCTGTAATACATCAGTGTCTGTTTTCATCTCTTTTCTTCTTTTACTCTCCTTTCATTTGTTTTGCCTATCTCCTGATGTCTTGGAGTCATTTGTTCAGAACTGTGTATTGCACATCTCCCACAGGCCACGCCCTGTGCTGAGTGTTGGGAATACAGTGCTCAGTGAGAGAAACATGTTGGCTACCCTCAGAAAGTGTATAGTTGGTGATTTATAGCTGAATCCAGATTTCAATTCTTTTTTTGTTTGAAGGCACTTACATATATGTGTATATATTTTAGTGTAGATTTGACTGTATCCTGTAACTTTTGTTACATAGTGTTCTCATTATTACCTAATTTAGTTATTATATTACATTAAAGCATGTAAAATCATTGATATTCAGTCATTTTAAACCTGTAGAAATGCCGTTTTCATGTAGCTCATCCTAAATAATTTTTTAATTAATAGACTTTATTTTTTGAAAGTGTTAGGTTTTCAGAAAAATTAAATAGAAAGTACAGAGAGTTCTGGCCAGGCATGGTGGCTCATACCTGTAATCCCAGCACTTTAGGAGGCCTAGGCAAGCAGATTGCTTGAGCTCAGGAGTTTGAGACCAGCCTCGGTAACATAGAGAGACCCTGTCTCAATATATTTTAAAAATAAAATAATAATATTTTTAAAAATCATGCAAAAAAAGCACAGAGTTCTCACATACTCCCATAGTGCTCTTCCTATCCCTACATACAGTTTTCCCTATTGTTAACATTTTGTATTAGTGTGCTACATTTGTTACAGTTGATAACCCCCATATTTATTATTATTAACTAAAGGTCATAGTTTACATTCGGGTTCACTGGGCGTTGACAGATGTGTAATGCCATTACAGTGTCATACAGAATAGCCTCACTGTCCCCCAGAATTCTCTGTGCTCTGCCTGTTCATCTCCCCTTTCCCCCAAACCTTGGCAGCTGATCTTTTTACTCTCTCCATAGTTTTGTCTCTTCCAGAATGTCATATAGTTGGAATCATATAGGACATCATGGCCTTTTCAGATTGGTGCTTGCACTTAGTAATATGCACTTAAGTTTCCTTCATGTGTTTTCATGGCTTGATAGCTCATTTTTTTTTAGTGCTAAGACTTCATTATCTGGATGTACCACAGTTTATTTATCCATTCCCCTGCTGAAGGACATCTTGGTGGTTCCAAGTTTTGGCAGTTGGGAATAAAACTACTGTAAACATCTGTGTGCAGGTTTTTGTGTGGACATAACTTTTCACCTCATTCGGATAAATACCAAGGAGCACAATTGCCAGATAGAGTGCTAAGAGTATGCTGAGTTTTATGAGAAATTGCCAAGCTGTCTTTCGAACTGTACTATTTTGCACAAAGAATGAGAGGTCTTACTGCCCCACATTCTCTTCTTAGGGTTGTCAGCGTTCTGGATTTTAGCCACTCCAGTAGCTATATAGTGGTGTCTTATTGTTTCAATTCCCAATTTCCTGAAAATATATGACACTAAGCATTTTATGTATGCTGTTTACCATCTGTATGTCTTCTTTGGTAAGGTGTCCAGATCATTTGCACATTTTAAAATTAGGTTGTTTATTTTCTCATGTTGAGGTTTTAAAAGTTCCTTGAATACTTTGGATACCAGTCCTTTATCAGATATGTGTTTTGCAAATATTTTCTCTCAGTCTGTGGCTTGTCCTTATTCTCTTTATGTGTCCAAAGAGATTTTTGAGACTTGTATTTTAATGGGGAATCACCTATCCAGAGACTGCAATTTAGATGTCACTTTAAACCATAAGTCTTGACATGAAAACCCTTTGAAGGGGAAATATTCTGAATTTTGTGACAGATTTGATAGAAAAAATCAAATATGAATTAGAGCTTAGTTGTCAAAAATAATTTTGGTGCAGCAGAATCATACCTGTGGAAATAAAAGATTGGAAAAGCCTCACGTATTTTATAGCAATAATTAGGAAACTTAGTCTGGCCAGTTTTAGAGGAATACAGAGAAAAGTGTATACTGTTAAAAGATAAATACTGGCTGACCTCACTGTTAGACAGATAATATCTTAAGATCATCTGACTTGATAAAGTCCTGCACAGAACAACTTCTTTTAGCATTTTTGAACTGCTCATTCATTGTACCTTGTAGTGTTGGTCTTGACCAATTCATTAATTCAGTCATTCATCATGAGTTTTGTCTTTGGTCAAATGATATATTCTTCCTTTGCCTCCTTATAGTTAACTTTGAATAACCTTAATGGATACAAAAAATAATTTTTCAAAAATGCTTACTTTTTAGAAGGACTCACTTCATCATAATTATTTTCTTTATATTTAAACTCAGTTATTGAATTTGCTAAGACAGATATTATAAAAAGGAAATTGAGAACATAATTAGATTTTAAAACAAAAATTTCACCATTACACATAATCAAAGATGAGTTGTGAAATCGTGTGACTTTCGTTTGCAAATTTTCTGAGAGATGTAACGGAGAAGGCCTTGGGCAGTGTTTCTCTTTTAAATTAATATACAGTATTTTAACATGCACATATGATAGAAAATAAACTTGTGAGAGGAGGGTAGGAACTTTAATTATAACTTACATTTCAAATTCTACATTCTCTCAAAGATAAAACTTCTTGTTTTAGCATGTAAAGCTGGAAGAAGTTTTAGTTGAAGGCTGTAATTTGTTTTACATAATATGTTATTTTTTATAGAGATCTTTAGAATACCTCATTAAAATGTACATTTTGTATAAGGTACATTAGAAATTCTTGCCTATTAATGAAGTTTATACATTCTTTGAAGGAGATTAGAGAACACACATACATGTATATACATGTCATACATATATATACATACATATATATATACACATAGTTTTTGTGTTTTTACTGTCTTTGGAACTCAATTATCATAGTAAATGGTTTATTACTTTGTATTCAGTTATTTAAATTCAGTTTATCATGAAGGAAAGAAAATTGGCTTAAGGAAATTAGAAACCCTTTGTTCAGTTAGATTTTTAAAACAAAGTAATAACTGTTTTCTTTTCCAGCTGTGTGACTGGCTACATGTTAATGAAAGCTATTTTAAGCCACACCCACTGTGTAGCTCCATTGGACTTCAGAAGACATCTTTAAATGCTTATGTGAAGAACCTCGTTCAAGAGTATGTCAAGTCATCTGCTTGGGAAGGTAAGTCTGCAATCATTTTTATGGATTGATAAAACCAAAATATTTTCTTTTTTTTTTTTTTTTTTTTTTGGGACGGAGTTTCGCTCTTGTTACCCAGGCTGGAGTGCAATGGCGCGATCTCGGCTCACCGCAACCTCCGCCTCCTGGGTTCAGGCAATTCTCCTGCCTCAGCCTCCTGAGTAGCTGGGATTACAGGCACGTGCCACCATGCCCAGCTAATGTTTTGTATTTTTAGTAGAGACGGGGTTTCACCATGTTGACCAGGATGGTCTCGATCTCTTGACCTCGTGATCCACCCGCCTCGGCCTCCCAAAGTGCTGGGATTACAGGCTTGAGCCACCACGCCCGGCCGTAAACCAAAATATTTTCAAAGAACTTTTAACTATTTTTTGAGACTGAGAGTTAGGCTTTATGAAATATGTGATGATTTATTGATGCCAAACTTGTTGAAAGTGGAAAAAAAGTAAAGACACTGTCTCCTAACCTGTATTAATACTTTATTTGTTCTGAGACTTGAGATTTTAAATTATTTTATGTTTAAGGAAGCTAGTAAGTTGCCAGAGTAAAAAGTAGACACAAATTACTGGGTCCTTGTGAACTAGATACTGCAGATATGGTTTTGGAGCCGCTGAAGTAGAAATATGTGCAGTGGAAATAAGTGTTCATCTTTTTTGTTTTTAAAGCACTATGTTTAGTATGTACTGATTATGGAAAACAATTTTAAACAAAAACTGTGTTTAAAAGGATAGTTTTATTAGTTTTCTTTTCAGCAGATACTTTGCAACATCAGTTTTACAAAGTTCCCTTCTTTGAGGAAATATATAAGACCACATTAGAGAAGCACCCTTTGTTTTTTGAAACGGAGTCTTGCTCTGTCACCCAGGCTGGAGTGCAGTGGCACGATCTCTGCTTACTGCAACCTTCACCTCCTGGGTTCAAACCATTCTCCTGCCCCAGCCTTCTGAGTAGCTGGGATTACAGGCATGTGCCACCACGCCTGGCTAATTTTTTGATATTTTTAATAGAGACGGGGTTTCATCATATTGGCCAGACTGGTCTCGAACTCCTGACCTTGTGATCTGCCCATCTTGTCCTCCCAAAGTGCTGAGAATACAGGTGTGAGCCACCGTGCCTGGCCTAGAGAAGCACTCTTAACAGATTCATTAATTAGGATTCTTTTTATATTCTTAATGCTTCCACTTCATTAAAGTCATTAGTGTTAATTTAGGAAAATTGCATCTTCAAATTTAACATTTCTTAAATTTCCTAGCTTTGTCTCACACAAAGTCATTTTCATCTCCTGATTTCATTAATCTAACCATGGAATAGCTCTTAAATGATCAGATAATTATCCTTCCAAAATGCATGAGTTTATTCTTGGAATATTTCTCTTTTGTGTTTTTAGTCTTTTTTGGTCTGTCTAGTAAATGTCCTATGCTGTTACATTGGAAGATTATTTGAAGTAAATATATGTTAGTCCCTATTAAAACAGATATAAAATGGGGGTCAGATAGAGGTCTGAGAGACCATAGCCTTTGTGTCTTTATTCATTTAATCTCATTTCTGGTCACATTTTAGGGAACACTCTGTCAGCTAAAATACTAGAATTGCCTCTTAAGGGATTACCTTTCGTCTACTCTTGCTTCTTCTGCAGTCTCTTTTCCACATGGTACCTAGATAAATATTTTCAAAATACAAATTTTGATCTTAGATATTTTTCCTCCACTTAATATATATTCCCTTTAACACTTCAGTGGCTTCCTTTTGCCGTTTGGGCAGAGAGAAAGGTCCTCTGCATGGCCTGCAATGTTTCCTGGTCTCTCTTCTGCCGTTTATGCCACTTCATTTTTTGCTACTCCCTGTCACTTAGTGTACACATGAGCATCCTTCTATTTTCTGGAATGTAGCATGCCTTCTCCTGCCAGAAGACCTTTGATACACTCTTCCTTCTGTTTAGAAAGTTCTTGTGTCCCTTCATCTTTCCTCTTGAGTTGTCATACTCAGCCCAGTTGTAATTTCTTCAGGGAAACTTCCTCTTACTCTCCAGATGAGGGCATGTCTTCCTAGTGTACACTCCACTAGCACCATGTACTTCTTTATAGCCCTCACTACAATTGCAATTTTATATGGCTTTATTTATTCTTTGATTAATGCTTTTCTCCTGTAACTTTAAATTCCATGAGCACAGGAACCACTGTGTCTGTAGCACCCAGGAAATTGCATGGCATGTAGCAGGCACACAAATTTGTTTTTTGTTCATGTTGAAATATATGTGTATAATAATGAGCCATGCTCTAGAGTGTTCTACTGTATTTCCTCTCAGCTGTATTTCTCTTATAATTTAATATTAATAAAGCATAATCATTTAGTGGTTTTGTTTTTAAGCATTATCCTTGAAGACTTTTGTTAATGCTTTGTAAACCTTAACTATTGTGTTTTAAGTGGGAGAAAACTGCTCTATGCCTGACTGGTTTGAAGCCAAGCTTGTTTCTCTGATGGTCTTGCTGGCTGTGGATGTGGAAGGAATGAAGACTCAATATAGGTAATTGTTTCTATAATTGAAAAGAAAGCCTATTTAAAAAAAAAATTCCGATGAGAATTATGATGTGTATTCGGATTTTGGAATGATTGAAGTGAGTTGATCACAGGTATTAAGACGGGGTACTAGAACATTAACGGTATACCAAAGAAATGTTTAAAGTTAAAAACAAATAGGAATAAGGGCATATTAGTGCTTTTAGATTGGTAAATTAAATGTTAAACTTAACAACGTAATGTTAATTAGATGGCTGGGTACGGTGGCTCACGCCTGTGATCCCAGCACTTTGGGAGGCCAATGCGGGCAGATCACCTGAAGTCAGGAGTTTGAGACCAGCCTGGACAACATGGCAAAATTCTGTCTCTACTAAAAATACAAAAATTATCTGGGCATGGTGGCACGTGCCTGTAGTCCCAAGTGCTAGGGAGGTTAAGGCGGGAGGATCACTTGAGCCGGGAGGCAGAGGTTGCAGTGAGCCGAGATTGTGCCATTGCACTCCATCCTGGACCACAGAGTGAGATTCCATCTGAAAAAAAAAATTAATGTTAAATTAGAGAAGATTAAAAACCTATATATAATAATCACTGGTTTTATATCAGAGTATTAGAAATAGGTTATAAGGTCCCATTATAAGTTTAGGTCAAGAGATTTATTGGATTTGACTCCTTTGTAAAATACATGATTTTAAAAAATGATAATAAAGGTAATATTTATATTTTGTGAGACTGTAAGCAGATCGGTTTTCACTAGATTATAGTTTTGCAATAAGCAGCTTCAGTAAGTAGATCGGGTAGGATATTTGCATGACATACAGTTAGTTTGATTTACTTCAAATCTCTTTTCCAGACCAAGATTTAGTACCAAAGTTGGTTATCTAGCCTGGGAAAATAAGTGAGACCACGTCTCTATAAAAATTTAAAAAAATATTGAGCATGGTGGCTCACACCTGTGGTCCCAGCTACTCGGGAGGCTGATGTGGGAAGATTGCTTGAGTCTGGGAGGTTGAGGATGCAGTGAGCTGTGATCACACCACAGCACTCCAACCTGGGCAACAGAGTGAGACCCCGTCTCAAAAAAAAAAAAAAAAAATTGGTTATAACAGTTCTAAATAAATGCTTAGGTTTTTTATTTTTTTATTTTTAAAAACATGTTGTATTTCCTTGACTAACTTATGTTTGTTTTGATTTTATATTTTTGTATTATGGAAGCAGGGTCTCAGCAATTTAATTTACAAATAAATTGGGTATAGGATTTCCTTCCCACTGTCACCTGGCATTGAGGACAGCCATTCTTCCCTGTGCTTTCTTTATTGAATCGCTACCCTCAGGGGAAAGCATGGACCAGAAGATGAGTCCTCCATGGTGCTGGTTGTCTGGGTCTTTCATGAGAGTAACTTTGTCTGATTGGATCCATTAACCAACCAGTTTCACAAATTATAGGTGGGAAGTAATTTGCTTATGCTTTTGAAATGGTTGATTTTGGCATGTCTTTTAATGTCTAGTGGAAAGCAGAGAACAGAGAATGTATTGCGGATATTCTTAGATCCTCTTCTGGATGTGCTTATGAAGTTTGGAACTAATGCCTACATGCCCTTGCTGAAGACTGACAGATGCCTCCAGTTGCTGTTGAAGCTGTTGCATACATGCAAGTTGAAAGGTCCCTGTGCCCAAGATGGTAAGGATAAGTTGTTTCTCTTGGTATCTTGCTTGGTATATCATTGGTATTTAGAGTAAAAGGAAATTTCTGGCTTTTTAAAATGAAAAGAACATTCAATAAATAGTTACTGTGTGTCTCCCAGTGGTGCTAGGGATACAGTGGTGAAGGAGCAACCATCTGCTCTCGGGAGTTGACATTCTAGTGGTTTACATGCATTGATTACTGTAATGTGATTTCATTTGCTTTTTAAAAAAGTTTATGCGTGCTTATTGATTTCTAGATCATTTAAAATGATCACTATTTTGTATGTGTTTTAGCAGGATCCATTTATGATTTCCACTCTGCTAGAGCACGAGAATGGCGGTAATTTTATAATTACTTGTTTTTACATATGTTAATCTCTGAGTACCTTTTAAGTAGAAAATACCTCATAAAGTTAGTGATAATAGATAGAAGCATTGAGCTCCTTCTTCTCTCCTTAAACTAAGGTATGTAAAACAGCGGCTGAAAACTCATAGACATCAGAGATGAGAGTAGTGACGGGTGAACCTCCCAATCCTTTCTGACCTGTCTCATTTGCAGTTTTAGAAATTTCCTATTTAAAAATTCTAGAGAAGCATTAGTATTAGGTTAATCCTGAGAATAAAGTTGATATGGTTATATTTTAATATATGCTTATGAAATACCCTGATTTTCTTTTTTTTTTTTTTGAGACGGAGTTTCGCTCTTGTTGCCCAGGCTGGAGTGCAATGGCGCGATATTGGCTCACCGCAACCTCCGCCTCCTGGGTTCAGGCAATTCTCCTGCCTCAGCCTCCTGAGTAGCCGGGACTACAGGCACGCGCCACCATGCCCAGCTAATTTTTTTTTGTATTTTTAGTAGAGACGGGGTTTCACCATGTTGACCAGGATGGTCTCGATCTCTTGACCTCGTGATCCACCCACCTCGGCCTCCCAAAGTGCTGGGATTACAGGCGTGAGCCACCGCGCCTGGCCCTGATTTTCTATAATGATAGTAGCAGAATCAAATGCTGTGAAAATACCGTAATTTTTTAAATAAGACTTTTAACTCCTTAAGAACATACATTTGAATTCATTGGACATGTCCTGACTATTTATTCCTATGCTCACTGCTTTCAGTGTAGAACTGGGCCACATGTGCCCTTGAAAAATTGCCATAATTTTGGGTGCAAACAAAAGAATTGTGATATGTAAGTTATATGTAAGTTAGGGTGCAAAGTAAACACCTGTGTACTCGCATGCAACCTAAAACAAATTTACCTGTTTAGTGCCCTTCTGTTACTCTTTGTCTTCCTATTGTGACTTTTATTATATCCATGCATTTTAGAAAAGAGTTTTTACCACATATGTAGATATTCCTCAACAATATATTGATTTTTTTCAAACTACTTTATTAAGGTATGATTGACATGTTAAAAGGCTTTACGTATTTAATGTATGCAACTCAATGAATTTGGGGATGGCTATACACCCCTGAAACCATCACCATCATCAAGGTCATAGATGTATCTTTTTACCTCCCAAAGTTTCCTCTGGCTCCTGTTATTATTACTATTTGTAATAAGAACACTTAACCTAAGATCTGCCCTCTTATCGAATTTTAAGCATACAACACTGTAGCTATTAGGCATTATGCTGTGTGATAGACCTTCAGAACTTCATTGTTTTGCGTAATTGAAACTTCATACCCCTTGACCATCCCCTCCCATTCTATAAGTTGCCATTTAATTTTGTTGATTTTTTTTTCCCTTTGCTGTGCAGAAGTGTTCAGGTTTCATGTATTGTTTATTTTTACTTTTGTTGCCTTTGCTTTTGCTGTCACATCCTAAAAATTATTGCTAAAACCAGTGTCAAGGAGCTTCTTCCCTGTATTCTCTAGGAGTTTTACAGTTTCAGGTCTTACAGTTAAATCTTTTTTTTTTCTGAGATGGAGTTTTGCTGTATTGCCAGGCTGGAGTGTAGTGGTGTGATCTCGGTTCACCGTAACCTCCACCTCCTGGGTTCAAGTGACTCTCTTGCCTCAGCCTCCTGAGTAGCTGGGATTACAGGTGCATACCACCACACCCAGCTAATTTTTGTATTTTTAATTGAGACGGGATTTCATCCATGTTGGTCAGGCTGGTCTTGATCTCTTGATCTTGTGATCCGCCCACCTCAGCCTCCCAAAATGCTGGGATTACAGGCGTGAGCCACTGCGTGTGGCCTTGCACCTGAATCTTTAATCCATTTTGAGTTATTTTTGTGTGTGTTTAAGCTAAGAGTTTAGTTTTATTCTTTTGCATGTGGATATGCAGTTTTCTCCACACCAGTTATTGAAGATACTGCCCTTTCCTCACTTTGTATTCTTGGAGTCCTGGTAGAAGCTTAGTTGACCATATATGTGAGTTTAACAATATATTGTTTCATTTTCTTGCTTTTGAGCTTTATAGAAATGGTATCTTAGTGTAAGAAGTCTTGTATAATTTTTCACTGAACATGTTCCTGAGATTCATCCATGTCCTTTCTTACACTTTATTATTTTCCCTGTTATAGAATTATCGGTTGTATGACAATACCGCAATTTATGCATTCTCCTCTCGTTGGACATTTGATTATATTTACTTTATTACTATTATGTGCAGTGCCACCATGAACACTTTTCCACCTGTCTTCTGGGGCCTGTGTGTGAGTCTCTCTAGGCTGTGTTTCTAGAATAAAATAGATTATTCTTAGGGTCTGTGCTTATTCAGCTTAATGCAAAATTGTTTTTCCATGTAGTAATGCATACATTCTATGTTCTCACCTGTGAGATGTTAAGAGTTAAAGAGTTGGGGAGGGGATCTGTGACGTAAGTGGGGGAGATCTTCCTGGAAAAGGGTTGGCAGGTGAAGAGGCCCTGATGTGAGAGCTGGCCACTTGAGGGGCAGTTAGGAGACCAGTGCAGTGAAATAGGAACAGTAGGAGATGAATTCTGAGAGGTAAGTCTCGGGACAGGAGTTGTGTAGGAGTTTTTTGGCTATTGCAAGGGCACTGACTTTTATTAGGGGGTTGTAACTGAGGAGCGTCAAGATCTGCTGTCAGTCTTTAAAGCTGTCTCTGGCTATAGTGTTGAGGGTAAGTTACAGAGTGGGAAAGGGCGGAAGCCAGAGGCAGCTGCTAGGCTCCTGCCAGGGCCCCCTGTGGGTGCAGTGAAGTGCATAGAGATTTTGGATGTTTCTTGATGGTACCACCAAGATTTGGCAACTGGTTAAATGTGGGCTGTGAGGAAAAGAGAGAACCCAAAGGTGACTCTGTTTTGGGGTAAGTTGGATAGCTGGAGTTGCTTTTAACTGAGATCAGAAAGACTGGCGTTAGGCCGGGTGTGGTGGCTCATGCCTGTAATCTCAACACTTTGGGAGGCCTAGGTGGGTGGATCACCTAAGGTCAGGAGTTCAAGACCAGCCTGACAAAATGGTGAAACCCTGTCTCTACTAAAAATACAAAAACGAGTTGAGTGTGGTGGCGGGCGCCTGTAAACCCAGGTACTCAGGAGGCTGAGGCAGGAGAATTGCTTGAATCTGGGAGGCGGAGGTTGCGGTGAGCCGAGATAGCACCACTGCACTCCAGCCTGGGCAACATAAGCAAAACTCTGTCTCAAAAAAAAAAGACTGGTATTAGAGAGTGGGATGCCTCTGTACCTGAGTGGAGTTGTTGAGTTGACATTTGACTTTATGAGGCTGTAGTTCAGGGAGAAGTATGAGTTAGAGATAGAAACTTGGGAGTCATTAGCATACAGGTGGTATTTAAAATCATGAGACTGGATGAGAGTGTTAGGGGAGCAAGTGTAGATGGAGAAGGGGTCCAAGTCCCTTGGGGACACCAATGTCCAGATGTTAGGGAGGTAAAGAGGAATAGCAGAGGGTACCCAGGGGAATTTACAGCCAGAGAGGAGGAAAACCAGGAAGCCAATGAAGAACATGTTTCTGGGAGGAGGGCAGGATCCTCCACCAGAGGCTGCTGAAGACTTGACGGAAGGACTGGGAATTGACCGTCCAGTTTAGCAACATGAAATCAGTGGTGACTTTGCAGAAACAATTTGGGGCAGTGGTGGGGGATACTCAGAGAGAAATAAAAATAGTGAGTAAAATAGCAAGCTCTTTCAAGGAGTATTTTATGTAGAGGAGCAGAGAAATAGGGCCATTGGTGGTGGGGAAAGAGAAGTGTTTTTGTTTCCTTAAGAGGTGAATATAACAATGTTTATGTGCTGATGGAAATGATTTCATTGAGGGGGGTTTTGAAGACATAAAGGGGTGGTATTTGCTGACTGGCATCCAAGCATAGGTGAGAGTGTATGGAATCCAGGGCACAAGTGGTTCTAGAAGGTTCTAGAAGGAGCACTGATAGAAAGGTAGGTGCAGGTAGGTGGGCGGATATGGGAGGTCATAGAAGTTCTTTTCTAATTTATTCTGTTCTTTTAAGGAAAGAGGAGATAGATTGAGGATGGGGGTAGAAGTGTTGGCAGTGTCAGGACTGGATATATAAGCATCTGTCTGGGTCAGATGCTTTGTAAGTGCACTAAGGCAGTGCTGTAGGATTGCTGGGCTTGCTGAGTGTGCCCTTGACGTTGGCAATCGTGAATTCACAGTGACGGCAGTCCACATGGCAGTGTTTTCCTCCTGGTACTGTACTGTGATGTGCAGAACCACTTCAGACTGCCTGATCAGATGCGATTCAGGGATTGTCATTCTGCAGATGCCGTTTTTGTAAAATGATGTTTCTATGATTATATTAATCTGCAATAGCTGTATAATGTTTATTTTTAAATCTGAGGAAACATACTTTTAGTTACATTACGTTTCATTACACTGGATTATATGGGCGAAAGTAATGGGCCTTCAAGAATTATTACTACTTCTGTCCTCACTACCGGCTAGATTTGTCACTGTGGTGGGTCTGGTTGCTTTGCTGAGTCTCACTTTCTTCGTGGGAGTAAACTCTTCTGTAGTGGAACTTTTCTCCCTGAGATAGCTTTTTATACAT